TAGCGTCAATGAAGCAATTAATCAAAATTATTTTTTTTTCAATTACATGTAATGGACCCATCGGCAATATAAGCAGAAACTTAACTGTTTTTTATATATCCTACTTCAAAATGAGAAATTTTGTCGAAAATTTAGCACCTCTTAGAATTTTAGGCTGTGAATTGTCTATCAGTGAGTCAGTGATGAATTTTAAAATCTTAATAAGACGCAGATTCGAATAGAAATCTAGAACATGATTTTTATTTATATTGAGTTCCATTGTGTTGAAATATAGATATCAGATAGTGTAAAGTTGGTAACTGAACACTCTTATCTTCACGATAAAATATTGAGAAAACCAAACAGATGCTTATCGTGAGTTTAATCTAAGGATTTGAGGAAACTGAGTCATAATGGAGTTTTCGGATCAATATTTATACATATATAACTAGCAATCACTTTTCGATCTAAAATTATCGCAGTTTTTTGTTACCGGTTCGTTATATTATTTTAACTTTAAGATTAATTAAAATTTATTGCTTATAAAATTTTTATGCTTAGATCTAACATCTACACACAACATACACACACGCACATACACACACGCACATACACACACGCACACACACATAAACACATACAGACGCACTATTTTTGCTATTATTTTTTGTTAATATAAGAAAGACGATTGAGTTGTAAAATTTTAAGAAATTTTCTACGGAAGAGCGGGACATCCTGGCACAGGTATATATTTACTCAAAAGGATGTCCCAACAAAGGACTTAATGTATTTAAAAACTCTTTTTATTAATAAATCATTTTTCATTTTCATTTTCATTTTTCAACATCCCATTAAGAAGCAAGAGCAATGTACATAAATAAACTATGCGGGCGAAGCCATGGTAAAACTATATTTCTATAATAATTAAGATCTACATATATAGCAGACCAAAATTGTTTTGTGACATATTATTCTTTCTAACATTAACGTAAATTACATTATTGTTAGAAATGGATTTATTGAAAAAGATACATACATTTAGATTTCATATTACCTAAAAAATATCCCGTTATAAAGTTATAAGCGAAATAATCTATCTATACATATAATAAAATTGTAACTGAGCCAAATCTGTACATTACATATTTTTTTGGAAAATTTTATTGAGATAAACATTATTATCGATACAGAGGCCGAATCTGTCATTTTTAGATTTTTTGTCTGTCTGTTACCGCATCACTGAAAAACCACTGGATGGATTTTGATGAAATTTGGTATGGTTATAGGTGGTTATCCGGGTCAACATACAGGATACTTTTCACCGCGGGAAAATGTCTCATTTCTGAGAAAAATACAAAAACTGCAATGTAAGAGTATAATAATATGTAAAACCTAAGAATTTGGTTTTTGGTCATCTGAACGCGGGCGGAGCCGCGGGCAATGCTAGTGTTTAATAAAGTTACTATCGAAATTACTCATTGTCGCTAATTTAATAAGTCGCCATTTCTTATACCCACCTTTTTTTATTTACACTGGTAATTTGGTCTTAAAGACGTGTATTTTATTTGTTCCGCTACCAATCATTATAATTCTCTACTCTAAAAAGGTCTCATTGCTTGCCGTTCTCTATTAATTCACTGTTAAAGAAAACTAACTTTTTTATTATATTACATCTCTTAAACATAGTAGTTTAAACGTACATTCTTTCACTTCTCGTTAGTTTTTTATTATCTATACTAATATTATAAAGAAGCAGAGTTTGTTTGTTTGAACGCCTTAATCTCAGATTTAAAAAAATCTTTTTGCATTAGATAGCCCATTTATTTATGAAGGCTATAGGCTATATATCATATAATATCAATCTATTCCATAATAACCGTTAAAAGAAATATAAATAATCTATACTAATACTAATAATATTATAAAGAGGTAAAGTTTATGAGTTTGTGAATTGTGAGTTTGAGACGTTGTAGGGGGTATCTCTGGAGATACTGAACCGATTCAGATGAAATTTGGTAAAAAATAGTTTGAGACCCTGGGAAAGACATAGGATACTTTTTATCCCAAAAATCATACCTTAAAAGGGTGAAAATGGGGTTCATCCCAGTTTGTATGGGGAATCAACCTAGGGACGAACCCGAGCAAAGCGAGGGTGAGTCGCTAGTAATATCTATATATTAAATCTAACAAGAAATTAGGATACAGTAATGAAATACAATTATTACAAGATCCTGCAAAATATTACAAGTTTGGCATTTATATATAATTCAATATTATACTCCTGTAAGAAACTCATACAAATTCTTTGAAAAACCTGTTTTCTTTTAGTGTCATAAAATGTCTATACTTTCAAGTGTGAACCGCATTTGCATTTCCATAAAAGTTTCTCCGTAGAAATGTAAACTCTACATAAAAGGCTGCCATGTATTCTATTTTATACACAGAGCTCGCTTGGCAACACCTTATGAAGTTTACACGATGTACCTTAATTTTATTTACTTTTGAACGTATGCAAATATTTTTATCATACTTTAATAATTATAACAAACTAAAATAACTTCGTAATCTTTATTAAAAGTATGGGCAGATTAGTTTTATCAAATAGCGTGACTACTTATTGTTACGATATAAGCTTCTGAGATCGGAAATTAAAGCCGGTCACTCGCGAAGTAAATGTTTTATTGTTTTCTATATACACAAAAGTCACTTTTGGCAGTTTATATATAGGTACATTTGGTACTCTCACTGACACTATTTACCACCTAAATTACTACTTTCAATGCCATTTAGCTTTTTACCTCAATTATCACTAAATCCAAACTCGTATTGTACTAGACACTGATGTCCTTATCATATGGATAAACCAAGAACATCCTAATACGACAAAAAAATTTTTTTTGAAATATCTTCTTTTTTTTGGAATTGTCTTTTTTCTTTCTCACTCACAAAAATAATATTATGTAAATATATTATTTTTTCCGTCACCAATCATTATAATTCTCTACTCTAAAAATGTCCCAATGCTTGCAGTTTTCTAGTGATGCTCCGTTAAAGGAAAGTAACGTTTTATTGCATTACACATCTTAAACACAGTTGTTTAAAAAAATTCAACGTACATTTTTTCACACTCTCGGTAATTTCCTATTAGATTTTATAATCATGTATTGATAATCACTGTACAATGGACATAATGGTCAGGGGTGCTATATTTTTTTAATTAATTTTCAAGATCATTAAAATCTTAATATTTATCCTTATTGTTACTAGTTACACATTTTCATACGCCATCTATACATATAATAAAATTGTAACTAAGCCGAATCTGTACATTAAATATTTTTTAGAAAATCTTATTGAAATAGACTTTATTATCGATACAGAGGCCGAATCTATAGTTTTTAGAATTTTTGTCTGTCTGTCTGTTACCGCATCACGTGAAAACCACTGGACAGATTTTGATCAAATTTGGTATGGTGATAGCTGGTTATCTGGGTCAACATATAGGATACTTTTTAGCGCGGGAAAATATCTCATTTCTGAGAAAAAATACAAAAACTGCAATGTAAGAGTATACTAATATGTAAAACATAAGAATTTGGTTGTTGGTCATCTGAACGCGAGCGGAGCCGCGGGCAATGCTAGTTAAATATAAAATTCATAAAAAATGGCAGAAAATTGAGTACTATTCTTGACAGCACTAAAACGTCGTAGCTTCTATCCCCACTGGATATGAATAACAATATATTACCCGTATACAAATTCATGCTGCCTACATAAGACCTGCCTATATATATTTTGTACTAAATATGTCGAGTGTACATATAATATCATTTAATGTATTTATATCATCCTTTAAGCTTATGATAATATTAACAACTAGCATTGCCAGGGGCTCCGCCCGCGTTCAGATGACCAAAAACCATGGTTTTCCTGAGGTAAAAAGTATCCATTATGTTGACCCGGATAACCAGCTACCATCACACCAAATTTCATCAAAATCTGTCCAGTAGTTTTCTTGTGATGCGGTAACAGACAGACAGACAAAAATTCTAAAAATAATAGATTCGGACTCTGTATCGATAATATGTTCATTTCAATCAGATTTTCCAAATAATATTTAATGTACAGATTCGACTTAGTTACAATTTTATTATATGTATAGATTAAATAACATGCAATTACAGCTAGATATTTATTACAAAGTCAGATAACGTTTCCATCGGCAATATAAACCCTAATAATTACCGAAGTATTAGTATTAAGAATATTTTAACCTTATAAAATGACGAACTTCCATACAAATTGCGTCCCATATTTTACTCTTTGCATGGATGTGAATTTCCGTAGTGCTCATATAGCACCTTGTGCAAGATTTCATGCTTCTAGGCCCAGGTGATTTGACTGTGCGTTATAGCTACATATGTATATGTTAGTGAGCCAGTAAATTAATTAAGGATTTTTATTAAGTAGATTACTATTATTATTCTAATATATTAATCTTTTCTATAAACAATATGTTTTTAAAATAATCTTGCTAACATATTATATTTATGATGCTTTTATTTTGTCTTTGTTCAGATAAAATTAAAAAGGGCATGTTAATCTTTATAAAGATAACAATTCAATTCATCTCTTCATTTAAACATAGCGATTGAAGTCCTGTAGAATACTAAGAAATAGCGTGTAATTTATTTCAATCATTGTAAATTTTTTTGTTAAGTAGATGGGATTTCAATATAAAAGCATATAAGTATTTTGATACCTTTTTTAAATCTAATTTACACTATTTAATACGAGTAGGCGTCTTAAGTAATTTCGTCAATATTTTCAGCGATACAGCAAAACCTCTTTAGAATTTACAAATTCACACCTAAGTAGGTGAAGGCCTGATAAGACCTGAAACGTGCTTAAAATTTGAATCACCCATTAACTGTATCTGTTAATAACTTAAAGACGCACTCAAATCACCTACGCTACAATGCTACGAGCGTAGCAACCATAGAGCTATGCGCCCAATCTTACAGTAACGTCCTTAAACTTGTCAAGTGTATCAGCACGGTAGAGTGGGCAAGTGCAGCCCAGTCCCCGTGACCTACATCAGCCGACCCTCGCGGGAAGCTGCTAATTTCCACCATCGACGTCACGGCGGGGGGAGTCTCGCTCGCTACGACCAGTCCGCCGCCGCACACCGACCTGGACGCACGTGCCGCTTCACAAAAAACCGCGAACAAACCATTTATATTCATCGAAAAACATTCAAGTGTCCATTTTTTTAAGTGTCGTGATAATATTTTTTTGTACTAAGTGATCATTCAGAGGGCGTAAGCTAGGCGCGTCCCGCTGACACACTGGCTCAGTCCGCCGCCGGCCGCCGAGTGGCAAGCATCGATTTTCTCCACACTGTACGCGAGGTACGTAATATCACGTGCTCGTATTTTCATCGTGGCTATTTCCACGCGCCGCGTATTTTCGATCTGCTTAACGTTCAAGGCCGCATCTGTTTGCGTTGGAGTTAACATTTGTAAAGTTTATGTTATGATTGTGTAAATGTTGGACAAAGCCAGTATCTATTACCGCAATGGTCACTGGAGAGGAAAACGAATCGCTTTCATGGTTTCACGATCTTCACGCGCTAAGAATATGTAATGCGATAACGCGCTGTTACCAAGGTTGCAACTTGCAGTTCACTTATCATATGTTTCCTTACTGAATACTTACTCAAATTATATTTAGAAAGAAAATAATTTGTGTAAAAGCTATAAAATAAACCATATATAACCAAAATCGTTAATTCGAAGCCAGGTGCATACAAATAGATAGACTGCAGCGGTCTAATTTCATAATGATAAGCAATCTGGCATACGCTCAGAACATTCAAATAAAAGATAAATAATAGCTAAATAGTAAATACATTACATATAGAGTCGTATGTATTATATATGTATATTTCACCTCTCGTCTGCACATTCGAGAATTCATTAAACCGTAATGCTTAAAAATGGGTCACCCACATACTAGAAGCCATTTTTGTGTTATATTGCAAATTCTTTTAGTTTTTATTAAGTAAAAAATTACGTATAATTTTACTCAATTCTATAAAAAAAACTTGTAATTTTTTACATATAATTTATATAAGAATACAATATAATATACGAGTATTATTTAAAAACCATCGAGTAACATTCACCATAATGTCAAACAAATTACTTTTTACCTTTACTTAAACATAATTGTCATTTAACAACGTAAAAATTGTCACGTTTTTCTAATTTATTTCATTTGGTATGCAAAAGTTGACTTTTAAATATGCTTAATTTGCTGAAATGAAAAACATATAAAATCGCTTTACGATAATATCTACAAGGGATATCACAAAAAAAACTTAAATTTTTTGATATTATAATAAATATTTATGCCATAAAACCATAGAAATGATGAATTATTACTTTATAGTTTTCTTTGACATGTACACTAGTGTTAACTTTTAAATATGAACAAAATTACAGTACGACAGCTGTTTTATATTGAAGTGGGTTTTTATTTATGTAGGAATGGCAGCGTGGCAGTAGTTTTTTAACAGAGCAATAAAGTATTTATTGGATTCTTATCGCACAGTCTTATTGGTTAGAAACCTAATCGCTCTTTCTCTTTGAAAGTTTTTATTGCAAGTTGAACAAATTTCATTGATGAAAAAAGGTTTAAACATAAATAATGACTTACTAAATTACATATATATTTCGTAAGCCTAATTAATATTTTACTTTATTCTACATCGTTCTTCTGACAGTTCAGTTTAATATTACTCTATTGAAATTTTCACTTACCTATTTGAAAGAGAATTAAAATACCCGTATATTCATATAGAAATATAAAAAAACTTAGCCAAAGCAAGTTAAAGAAGAATTACTTATTGAAATCTATACTAATGTTATAAAGAGGCAGAGTTTATTTGTTTGAACGCGCTAATCTCAGGAACTATTAATCCAATTTGAAAAAAAATTGATTTGAAGTATATTGGCTATATATCATATATTATATAGTCTATCTATTCCATACTAAACGTTAAAACAAAAATAAACAAAAAGCTTTCAAATCGAATCAAAATATAATTTTACTTTAGACTTTTACTTTTGAATCGTCAATTTTTTTTTTTAATTAAATGTAAGTGTAGTCAGTCTGTGAGGAATCTACCTCCGGCTCGGAAGGTAGTTCTGCTGAGAAAAGCCGGCGAAAAACTCAACAGTTGCTCTTTTGAAATAATAATTATTTACAATATTGTGATACAATAATTATCGACTTTACCTACGTGAGACGAACCCAGACATTAGTTTCACACATTGACATCTACGAAGTATTCCGGGACAGTATAATAAGCTTTATGCACTAATATATTGTTAATTTTAGACTTAAATTGTTTAAATGGCAAGCTTAAAATCGATTGTGAAATTCTATTATACATGCTTTGACTGTATAATTTTACTATTCAATCTAACATTGAGATATTGTAGATAACGACTTCCCTAAAACGTTTTCATTAATTCAGGAATTCTAATAAGGGTAACACCAAACAAATCTATACATATAATAAAATTCTAACTAAACCGAATCTGTACATTAAATATTTTTTGGAAAATCTTATTAAAATAGGCATTATTTTCGATACAGAGGCCGAATCTATAGTTTTTAGAATTTTTGTTTGTCTGTCTGTCTGTTACCGCATCACAAAAAAACCACCGGAGGGATTTTGATGAAATTTGGTATGATGATAGCTGGTTATCCGGGTCAACATATAGGATACTTTTTATTGCGGGAAAATATCTCTTTTCTGAGAAAAAATACAAAAACTGCATTGTAAGAGTATACTAATATGTAAAACCTAAAAATTTGGTTTTTGGTCATCTGAACGCGGGCGGAGCCGCAGGCAATGCTAGTACTAAATAATAATAGTCACAGTGTAAAATATAATAAAAAATAAGGGTGTCGAAACATCGAAGCACATAAACGGCAAAAGTGACGTCCCACCATCAATCAATGTGCTTGTACGTAGCTACGGTCATGGCCCGCGTCCAATGAATCCAGATCAATAGGTTTGGTCTATACAGATTTTAATATGTCAGTTACATAGATTTTATATATTTTCTAAGCACACATTGCCTAAAATATCAAAACACCACTCCTACAGATAATATGTAGAGCTTAATTGGATTTTAAATCGATATTTGTATTATAAAAACGAATTTAAGCGGGCATTGTTAGAAACAATTATGTTCGATTATGATCGTTAATCGAATTTAATGTTATTAAATAAGTGTCGATTAAATTTGGCCTAGTAACTATATTACTTTATTAAAGAAATATATTTGAGTCTAGCATTGCCCGCGGCTCCGCCTGCGTTCAGATGACCAAAAAGCAAATTCTTATGTTTTACATATTAGTATACTCTTACAATGCAGTTTTTGCATTTTTTCTCAGAAATCCGATACTTTCGCGCGGTAAAAAGTATCCTATATATTGACCCGGATTTTATCAAAATCCCTCAAGTGGTTTTTCTGTGATGCGGTAACAGACAGACAGACAGACTGACAAAAATTCTAAAAACTATAGATTCGGTCTCTGTGCCGATAATAATGTCTATTTCAATAAGATTTTCCAAAAAATATTTCATGTACAGATTCGGCTCAGTTAGAATTTTATTAATTATGTATAGATGCAAGATATTCGCTCATATATGTAATATGTTTATATAAAATCTATATACATTCAATCAGACTTCAAAATGTTCATGTAACAATATTTCTATGCCTGGATTACATAACAAGTAGACACATAAGAACGATATGTTAAATGGACTACTTGCGACCGAGTGAAGGTTAAAATGGTTAGACTTATCGCACGTTTATCTCCCATGTAAAAAATATATTTTACATAACATACTTTTAAAGAATCTAATCAGAGTTGGGATAATAATTATGTTGGGACATTAACACACAGCACAATCTAGTTCCATGGTAGGCTACGAAGCATGTGTTATGGATACCAGATAGTTGATGCACTACACATATGTATATAATATAGTAATAGGCTTTAAATGCATAATATACATATATTATAAATATAAACACTAGAGTACAAACATTCGTGTTGATCACACAAATGAATGCCCCCAGTGGGACTCGAACCGGCGACCGCTGGCACAGCAAGTAGGGTATACAAACTAAGCAAAACGTGTCGTGTCGTAGGATAAACATGATAGTTATCTTAAAGTTAATAAAAAAGTTCGCGTTTTCTGTGAATTTTTGTTACAATCGTTATATAATTTATTTATATATTTACTTCCACTCCGGCTATATTCCTCTAATATCTCAGACTTACTCGTAGTTACGAGACGGTATTTTACTTTAATTATTCACCAAGAGATCTGTCCCACAATAAAATTGCCTAGTGTAGGTATATTATTATAATGGGTAACATTAAAGCTGTTTCAAGGCCTCGCATCTCTTAGATATTTTAATATTATGGCAACTATTGTAGCTTTATATAGTTTTATATTATTCTCTCCAACTTTTCTTCAGTATTATAGCTTTAAGATGATGATATCCATACTTAATATTATAAATGTGAAAGTGTGCTTGTTTGTTTCTTTGTTTGTCCTTCTATTAAGTCGAAACAGAGTGAAGGATTGGCATGATTTTTTATGTGGAGATAGTTAGAGGGCTGGAGAGTAACATAGGCTACTTTTTATAGCGGGAGATTATCTCATTCCCACGGGAATACACGTTAAATTGTAACCCAAAAAAATGTTTGTGATCAGAATTACTCGAAACTTGGTATTAATGCTCTTCAATACAATTAAAAAAATATGTATTTTAGCATTTTTCAAAATTCATTCTATAAGGGGGTAAAATAGGGGATGAAAGTTTGTATGAAACCTACATTTTTAAAGCTTTTTTGTAGCTTATACCGCCGCGGGTTCTGCTAGTGTTTTATAAATATAGGTAGACGCTAATCTCATCTATTAAATATTTTTCAATTTGATTTCAATTCAATTTGATTATACTAAATAAGAAATTAAAAGTTGAAAATAAATAAAGAGTGGAATAGTGCCGATGACTCCAATTAAAAACAGCATATTTTACACTTATTTCAATAAAAATATCATAAAATATCAGCTAAAACCTTTCTTCATATAAAAAAAACTTTTTTTATCATATTTGTTTATTTTAGTCGGCTTATCCTATCCCACATTTATATTCGGTCTTACGGATATAACCGAGGAGTACTAAGATCCTCTCAACATCCTAGTTGTTTTCATCTGGTTTCATCTGAGCGATAACAATGTCCACAGCTTTGATCCGGATTAAATGGCATTGATATTATGTAGAGATTACGCAACAAAAGTTATAACTAACTTTATATGTTGAACTAACACCATCGCATGCCTGTGTTCTAATTACGTTGAAAACCATAGCTCAAGTTAATACACGAATATAGAGCTAAAATCGATATTTACAAATATTTT